GTAGACTTCTTATAAAAAGCATACATATTTAGCATTGTTTGCAATTGTTGGAGGCCAGTTGTTAAACTGCTAATATCCACTGCCCGCAAAATAGACCCCTCCCCCTCCCCACCAAACACAATGTTGATCATAACATAGACTTTTGGAAGTGAACTCATGCACACATCAACATTGTATAGAGGGGAGGGGGAACATTTGGGAGATTATTGTTTCAGGTCTACGAATTAATTATAATTCAGCCATGATTGTATATGAGTGTATTCTGGCGAATGACCAGACCATTTTTCCTAGGCAGTATCAGTCAAATGACTCTTTCCTATTATCATCAATATTTTAAGTATGTGGTAAACTTTGTACAAGGGGGCATGAAGGGTGGGAGGGGTTTCAACCCATTTCCCAGCCAAAATGGCCCAGCACGACAAAATTGAGGGTACCTAAATATCGAGTCAGGATTCGAGCCAGGGACTCGAGCCAGGACTCGAGCCAGGACTCGAGCTAGGACTCGAGCTAGGACTCGATAACTCGATTCAGGACTCGAGCCAAAAATGACGTCAAGTGATTTTGATGGATGAAAATTTACCAACAGCGTTCTCACTTTTAAGGAACTTTCCTTAAATTTAGACTATTCGTTCACCAACAATGCGAAATGTTTAAGAAAATTTAACTGAATCTGAGGAAATGTTTATCGAATTGTTTAAGGAGGTCTAAGGAATGTTTGGCAAATGGGAAGTGAGAGAACTTGTTTACCAAATCAATTTCCCGCCTTTCTCCGCCAGATTCGATAAAAGAAACTAAAGAACGAAAGTCAGTGATATTTGGTATATTTGTACATACAGAGCTGTCAATCTCATCTGACTTTGGCTATTAAGGGGCCGTTAAATGCAAGATTAATTTTCTATACAGCTACAATTCTACCGTTATTCGACTACGCAGACATTATTTGGGGTGACAAGAACAACACTGGACTCATGAACGGTTTACAGACTTTGGAAAATAAAGCTGCTAAATTGATTCTAGACCTTCCTCCTCTCTCTTCAGCGACCGAAGCCCTCGCTACCCTTCATTGGTTACCTCTCTCCTCCCGCAGATATAAACATCGCTGTATCTTCATCTACAAATGTACTAATGGACTGTTCGATTTTGACTTTAAACTAACAACTAACAACTGTACAGTATTCATTCCTACAACCAGGGCCGTAGCGAGGGGGGGTATTGGGGGGGTGGTTAACCCCCCCAACTTTGACATATTCGGAAAATGGGATGGCCATTCGGAAAATTACGGCAATAATAGTATATGGTTTTTATACGAAAAGCATGAGATTCAGGCAATTTTTGGCTAATATATGAGTTTTGATATGTCCGGAAAAATTTTTTGACCCTTAAAATGGTACACTGACCGAAATTTTTTTGGCGACGGGGGGGGGGAGGTCGCCAAGAATTTTCTAATATTCGGAAATTTTCTTCGTCATTCGGAAATGTTTGGCCTACACCCCCCCAACTATAAATGCTAGCTACGGCACTGCCTACAACACACGATCCTGCAACAACCTTCATCTTCCAAAAGCCAACACGAACTGGGGTAAACTTAGACCGACTCATTACGCTTCGATGGACTTCAACAAATTGAACAGCTCAGTTGCAAACGTTAGTTCTCTGTCTCAATTTAAGACTCAATTAAATCTACTTCGTACTTAGACACAGTTATTGCATGCTTGATATATTTTAAATATATGTGTACAGTTTAGTTCGGGTATGCACCGTGTCTCTACGCTTAATTTAATTTTGAGCATTATTATCATAACTTCTGATTCTCTATCGATTGATTCTTTCCTATCATTTGAGGCACGTTGCATGCTTACTGACTAAATTAAATTTCATTTTTATGAATTATAAATTAATGGTCTATTTATCATCGTTGTAACGTGCATGTATATATTTGTATATTTTTGTACAATTTAAATATTGACAATAATTAATATTGTAAATAATTGTAATTTTTGATGCAGGACCCCACTGAAAAACACGTAAGTGATGTGGGTATTCTGGATAAATATAATTATTATTATTATTATTATTACATGGAGCATTTTCAACCCCGGGGTTGAACTCAGCCCTGCCAACTGGGTTGAAATTTTTTGCGATTACATGGACGATTTCAACCCCGGCGTTAAAACGTTATACTATACGTTCTCGGCATCGATTCGCGGAAGTAAAAAGCCTTTATTTTGTTTTCTTGTATTAAATAGTCACTACCACGCATGCTCGAAAAGCTCATGATAATTTCAGCCCTGGGTTGAAACGATTACATGACAAAATTTTCAACCCAGGGCTGAGTTCAACCCCGGGGTTGAAATTTCAACCCGGCTGCTAGCTGAAGCAGGGTTGAAATTTCAACCCCAGGGTTGGGATCAGCCCTGGGTTGAAAATTTTGTCATGTAATTGCGCGTTTGATTTTGATAGAGTTTTGTATTACAGACAGGGCTGAAATTTCAACCCGGTAAACAGGGCTGAGTTCAACCCCGGGCGGGGTTGAGAATGCTCCATGTAATCGGTCCCTAACTGTAACGGTTATTAGCGTCGGAAGACAGTGAATGAAACAATAGTCAATACCGTAGTTTGTCTTTGATATATTGCACAAATATCGATATCCAAAAAAGGGAAATATCCGGCCAGTATTTTATCGAACTAAAACAGTTGGTATTGCCCATCACTAGCAGTCTCTCGCTCTTTACAAAACATATACCTGTTGCCGCTCATTGCCGCTTAGCATTCGTCAAAGAGTAGGATAATTCTCCCTGCCTTATTTTCCTGTAATAGACGCCAATATCACCAAACTGTATTATAGAAGAGCCGGCCACGCTGGCTAACTGTATTACCAAATACACCCTTTCGATAATTACACATACTTTTTGGTCTTGGAACCTCGCTCTCATTGGTAAATTACACAAGGGGATTAGCGTAATTATTGAAAGGTTGTATTTAATTTGCTAGTAGTAGAACATTTAGCTAGCCTGCGTAACGTGTCTTATGAAACAAAACCATTGGGTAATGGCAATTCCCCGTATTTTCGCATTTTTTTATCGAGTCCTGACTCGAGTCCTGGCTCGAGTCCTGACTCGAGTCCTGGCTCGAGTCCTGGCTCGAGTCCTGGCTCGAATCCTGACTCGAGCAATAGTATATCTCGACAAAATTGGTGGTGTTAAATTCCAATCTCAGTCAGGTGGCCTAACGTGAACACGCGATATGTGGTGGTTTTTCTGAACCAAAAGTGCATGATCAGTGTTTAAAATTATACATACTTTATATTATGCTAAATATACTTGCAGTTCATTGTACAGTATTTTATTGTTATCGAGCTAGGGGGTAATTATATCTGTCAATGTATTAAGAAATGAGATTTTATCCGCAGTATAAAAGTATATTGTTTCTGACATTGTTCTGGAACGAATATTTCTAATAATTTGCCAGTTTTCTATTCGGAAAAATATAATTGCATTTTAACTAATAGCTTCACAAGGACATTGAAAATAATCTTGACCGGTAGGGAAATATTACTTTATTAATTGCAAAAAGTCTCAAAAAGTCCGATCATAAAATGTCTAAAACTATTAAGTCGTACACTTTCTGGGAGTGATTTGCCCCTCGATTGTCATAAGACAAATACAAATTCCCGCTCGATACTTTACCCTTGAAAGAATTTCTCATCCCACTCACCAAATAGTTGGCATCTTCTTCGTAATTAATTCTAATTAACTCGAAATCATCGAGATTTTACGATAATCCACTTGTAGATATTTGAAATATGTATTGAGTGATATAATACACTGGTTGTATTCGTATAATTGTCTTAAAAACGTCGTGTCAACAAAGCCACAAAGTAATTAATGAGAGATCTCGACAGGTAGTTTTTACACATATTTTCAGGGCATCTATCACGAATATAATTCCACCTGTTCGAAGACATCGATGAATGGTGACACACACATGTTGTTCGGCCTGATTAGTGTAACACTTTATGCTGTAAATACTAGTTTTCACGTTTTCTCTCTAATTCTTTTCTTTTAACTATAATACTTATTGTATAATGTATTTTAAATTTGGTTGACTGTATAGTCTGTAGTTAGAACTATAGTATCTAAATTTTATAACTATAAGGGATCTTAAATAAAAGCCTGTTAAGGTTTCTGGTAGGCCCCTACTATATCATAACATTAATCTAATTTTTTAAATATAAATAGGCCTATTTACATGTTATAATATATGGCCAAAACGGAAAAAAAGTTTATTTGTCACAGTTAAAAAAAAAGTTGTGATACGTTTACACTGTCACATAATCGCAAAAGACTTGGCTACGAATCGATCGTATAGTTTTCTGTAGCTCAGGTCAGGCTTAATTACGTTAGACCAAAGATTGTTAATAATTCAAAAATATAGGCCTAGCTAAGGAAGGCCCAGGCCAAGGCTGGCAGGGTTAAATACGGCTATTGAACTTCAATGTTGGTTTCGCGCTCAATAAGGTTAGGGATAGGAAATATATTTGTGCGAGAAACATGAAACTAAATATGTTTACACTGCAGGCCACGTCTAATGCTTGGGCTGAAAACATGTTCTTGGCTTAGGTCAGTCCTAGTGCGTTTACACTATAAGGCTAATTGTTCTAGGTCGGTCCTAGGTAGGGTATAATCTTATCCAACGTAGTACGTGAGTTGTAGTCACATGACATGCTCATCGTGACCTTGGTGTATTACTCCAAAAAGCGTTGCGAGATTTTCAGCGGATTTAAGGGATACTTTGACAAGATTTTGCAAGAAATTTTGATATTTTTAGTTATTCTGTCAATTTCTGTGGAATATTTATATAGGAAGTGGAAAATTTGGGTGATAAGGATTTCAAAATTTTTGGCAGGTTGCGGAATTTTTCGAAAGATTTTAGAAGGATTTTGGAGTCATACACTCAGCCTTCCCTTGGTCAGAAGATTGAACATTTATTAATTTTGTGCACGTGAACAGTTACTACCGGCTTTGGGGTGTTTTGAAATAAGTGTCTGATTTGAAGATTATTTTACAGCCAATGATGTGAATAATACACGGAGAGAGTGACTTCAACAAAATCACTATTTAATTATCGTGGACACGTGGTTACTTTTAATCTAGCCGACTACGTGCTCATCGGCCCACTGAATGTTTAGTGCCATTTTGTGTACCAGTGGGATAACGAAAGGGGATGGGGGAGTTGAAATCTGTGCATAAAAGGGGCTGCAGTCATCTGCAATAGCGATAAAATATCGTTCAGTTTCGTGTTTATCGTTTGTCTTCAAAACTCGTCTCAGATGTGAAAAATGCTGTTCTAGAGACCTTAGTAATTTATAATTTGTCCGCCCCCGCTCACCCCGGCCCTGTGATTCTCTCGCCATTGACGAAGAGAATGATTGAAAATGGCACCTGAATAATGTTCAGCGTTTAGTGCTTGTAATGACTTTGTGTGTTGAGATAAGTGTCCCATTTATAAAATTTAGAAGGATTTGGTTGTTAAATGATTGCGTGATTTCAGGATGGATGTGAATATATAACGTAAACAACAAGGACATTCCATCACAGCAATCCACTTTAACCCACTTGATAACTCAGCTCAATCCACTTAAGATCATATCATCAAATTAGTGAGTTGAAACATAGCAGTATGTTGACACCTTGTGATTACAGAATTTCTAATCATCCTCACTTGCAAACGATAGCTGAATACATCCTTCTGGAACGGACTTAGCCTTGGCTTTCGTCATTGAGATCTCAGCACTTCATCTTAGCTTGTTCCTGATGACCTAATCAATGTAAAGTCCTTTAATCTTTATATTATCAAATATAACAATATGTATCATTTCAATCTGATGGCGTGTAATCTGCAGATCTGCTCTACCGAAACACCCACCTTTTAAACTTTAAAGATTCCGCCAAAGCCAACATTGAGAATGTTGAATGCCACTTAGGTACTGTAATCACTACTGGGTAACACACTTATTACAGATAATTGAAAATTGTAGACACAACACGCATGCAACATAGCATTTTGCGAAATATTATTCGTGAGAGTAATGAAGGAAAATCTGACAGTGACGAAAACTCTGATATTTCGATTCGTTTGTTTGATCACAAGTGCATGATCCGCGTTCTTCTCTACAGTGTGCATAAAAAAAACCTGAAATTAGCTATAACGTATTGTAGTCATAATTTGACAGCTCTAATTGCTTTGAATTAATGGTTGGGTAAGAACACAGGGTCTTGTACTCACGGGACAAAACTCAAAGACAAAAGACAAAGAAATAAAAATTAGAAAATTTAAAAGAAATACTGTACAGGGTGTATAAAAAAAAACGCAACCTCGAATTGCTAATAGTCATATTACTGTTGTTGTGCATAAATTTTGCTTTATGCATTCGCGTGTGCAGTAATTTTGACAGTTATGCTATTTTAAATTCCCAGGCGCCTAAAATCTTTTGTCTTTAAAACAATGTCGATTTCTTGGGAAATTCCGAGGTTGCGCTTTTTTATACACCCTGTATTTCACGCCGGAATCAATCTGCATAACATAAAAACAGTTTTCATAAAATTACTACATTTAATATAATAATGAACTATTAATATATAATTTAATAGTAATTAATATGTACGCATGTACGCATTGAATAATTTTCTAATTTCTGACAAAATATGTAAATAATCTACAATATTTTTTTAATGTTTTTTTTCAATTAACTTTACAATCATATTATTTGTAAGGTCCAGATTTGACCCCCACCACCATCAGCACCACTAGAGTTGAAAACCACTAAACCACTTCCAGCCATTTTACACCAGACTTTAGTCCTTACAACACGTACTTGACAATATAAACATGCAAGAATAAATACTACACTATCAAAATTATTTGCGAGGTTCGAAATCACATTTGACCAGCAGCAGCACCACTAGTTGGAACCACTAAACACTTACATGCAAACCAGGTCAGCGCGAGGTAGTGCCGATGATGGCAGTGGAAGTCAAACCCGCAATTTTTATTTAACACCAGACCTGCAGCTACGAGCAGCAGGTGATATTGCTCGAGCGACATTTTATGCAAATAGTTTTCCATGTCCTTGGACGCTCAACATAAAAGTTGGAGTTTAGCCTTATTAAGATAATAAGTATAAAGTTTGGATTTAAATATAGCGCAAGAGTTCGATGACTTAATTGATATGACTAGGCAGATTATTCCATAGTAGGCCTAGTATTATTCTGTTGAAGTAGGATGATCTGAATTAGGTTGAGGATTTACAAAGGTTAGGTCGGCGTGGGTCGGATGAACCTGAAACGAGTAGCATGCATGAAGGGAAGGTTGAGTGGAATATTGTCTATATCTACTTCGTAGCCATCAGATTTGCATTAAAATGTCAGATCTTTAATTTCAAACAAGTATAGGAGATTAGTAGTAAATTTAAACTTTTTAATCTGGAAAAGTACGAGGAATTGTAGTCTTGCGTGATGAATTTTGTTGCCCGTCTTTGAATGCTTTCTATAAGAACGAGGTCTCGCAATGATCCTTGGGGGACCAAATCTTACTAAGATCTTACTAATGTCAGATATAGCAGCCAACGGCAGTGACAGACCATTATACATCAACATCGGTTACGTTCTTTTTTCAGCATTTTTAAAACTGTAGCCTCCTCCGGAGGCATCTGCGTTTGTTACTTCCTCGCGAGCAAGGAAGGCCGGAAGCTGGGCGAGCAGGCAAAATTGGGTTGTCCCCTGTCCTAATCCCCCAGACGCCTGCAGAGGAAGCTCTTCATTGCAGTGTTTCATATCGTGGAGGTACAAACCGGAACACTGTAAACCTAGAGATCTTGAATATTTTGACAAGAATTATTTATTTATTTATTTATTTAGCTTCGCCTTGACAAAAAACGTACACAATACCAGTACAACAATTCATATACATGAGACATAAAAACAGTGGCGGCGCCAGGCCTCAGACTTTGGTGGGGCATTTGAGGGGCAAACTCATATTTTGGGGGGCAAACTCATATTTTGGGGGGCAAGATAGAATTTTTAAAAAGGTACTGCTATTTGCCCATGCCGTTGTCACAGGACTTCCCCCCCCCCCGAGGAGATTCGCCCCCCTCTCAAAAGGTGGCGATATTCCTAGGAATACCGCCCCCGGGGGACGAATATCCTAGGAATATCGCCCCCCCCCCAGAGGGGCGAATGCCCCAGGAATATCCCCCCCTTTAGGGTATTCGCCCCCCATATATGCGATGTGGTTTATTCAAATAATTTCGTGATACTTTCATCTTATTGGTGCCTTAAGGCCCATACAGACCGGACGCTATTTGGCAACGCGACGCGAATTTTCAGTTTTCACTCATTCATTGTTTTTCAAATATTCGGGACCACTTAGCATAAAATTTTTATCCGTTGATGGTTTTATTTGTTTTTGAAAACTGAAAATTCGCGTCGCGTTGCCGAATCGCGTCCGGTCTGTGTGGGCCTTTACAGGTTTGAGAATTTAACTTTGCAAAACTAGTAAAGCTTTTTTGTCTTTTTTGAAACGTATTATTGGAGTATTGGCAAGTTTTACCATTCAGAGATTTACAAACTAATATCGAAACTGTAAAAGACAGTTTCATGTATACGCGCATTCACTAATGAGTAATGACAACTTATAAGCCATACATTTTCCGATAACGACAAAACGCTTGTGTGGCCTTTAGTCGCTCTCAGTGACTAATAATTTTTTTTGAGGGGGGGGCAAAAAATAATTGGGGGGGGCATTTTCCCCCCTTGCCCCCCTGGCGCCGCCACTGCATAAAAAGAGGCGGGGACACCACAACAGTTTACACCAATTACTGTGGGCCCTTTAGTTAAAATTAGTGACAAATTACAGACGAAAAAAATATCAACTAATTAGTCTAGTAGCAACAGGGATCGGCATCGATTAGATTCGCGATGTGTTGCACTTCAGGCAAACAGTTTTCCAGGTTCGAGCATCATCCACGTCGTAACAAGATACAAGGGCATTATGGTAGTATTCTAATATCTAGTCTTAAGTGTTCGGGTAAGGAGTTCCAGGTTCTAGTTGCTCTAATAAAAATGACCGTTGATAGGTGGCTGTCTTACATCTACGAGGACGATACGAGATAACACTGTTATTTGAAGATGATCGAGTAGACCTTGAGGGAGTAGATCGTTTTGGCAAGATTTCCTTCGGAACAGTTATAATACCATTTATGGCCTTAAAAAAGAACATCAAGTCAAGATACTCATGCCAATAAGAGACTGGTAACAGATTTATTTCAATTATTCTATTAGCATTGGCCAAAAAGTAATAATATAATAATAATAAACTTTATTTTGATGAGGGTAAACATACATTTTTACCTGAAAAGGTATTCTACCAAATGGCCCTCAATAAAATTTAGATGAACTATTTACAATATATACAAAGAAGCTAACCTAGTTGTATTAAATACAGCACATGGAACTATAGGCATAGCACCAAATACAGAAATAACTCAGTATATTATTAAAGGTGATCTATAGTCCGATCTGCGCATGTGCACAAAGGAGCCCACTTTTTATGATACAAACAGTTTAACTATGTTTTGGGTTCTTGAAAAGCCTGATTATGGTTTCTTGGTAATTTATTATTATTGCGAGTAACAAATGCACTTAATTAGGTTTTCGCAAGAAAATCAGGAAAATTGTTCAAGATGGTCACCATCATAATTAAGATTAGAGAAAAACTTCTTAAGTTTATGTTTATACGCAGAAGGAGAGTAATCATTAAACACTTTCAGGTCATTTGGTAAAGAATTGAAAAGCAAAACACCACTGTATGAGAGTTTGGTCTTGGAAAGATTAGATTTAACAGATGGTATTTTGAGATCAGTAACAGAGGAGCGAGTATATACATCGTCGTGCAATGCCCCTGAAAAACAAAACAACCCGCGCAGATCACTTGGAGATGAGCTACGCAAGGTGCTTACAACGAGTAAAATATTTCGCATCTTAATTACGTTGTAGATGGGAATCCATTCCAGTTGACATACTCTCGTTCAAAGCCAATCTGGCTGCTCTTTTTTGAAGTTTAAGCAAAGGGTCGATAAGCTCATGTCGTGCATTGCCCCAAATGGTGATGCCATAAAGTAAATGGGGGTGATAAAAGCATAGTAAAACGTAATTCTACATTTCAGTGGAAGGGCTGGGCAAATACGCTTAAACAGATAAAGCCTGGAATTAAGGTATTTATATATCTTATCCACTTGGTTGTCCCAGGAGAGATTTTTATCGAGTAAGATACCTAGAAGTTTGCCAGAAGTAATTTCTTCAATCCAAAAATCCTCATAAAGTATGCTATCATGTCAAGCAGTGAATACTTACGCTTTGAATAAATTTTCATGAATTTGGTTTTGCTAAAATTTAAAGCCATATGGTTGCTTCTTGCCCAATTAGAGGTAATACACAAATCAGTCGATCGACAAGGAAGCTTTGCTATCAGGTAGCTCACAGCCATGGGTTAAAAGAGTCGAGTCATTCGCGAAAAGAGAAGGATGTGAGGTAGTAAGAAAAGATGGTAGATCGTTGATAAATATTAAGAATAGTAACGGGCCAAGAATGGAACCTTGAGGGACCCCAGTAATGAATTTTAAAGGTTCTGAAAGGACGTCGTTAATTTGTACCTGTTGTGTATGTCCTACACAATACAATTTTTGCCCAATAGACAAAAATCACTTAGAAATATTCAAGATATCATCATTATTTTTACTTTACCTTACCGTTTTACTGAGACCTCGGGGAAGCAGTGTTTTGTGGCCCCTGGACCGCCGCTGTTGCCTTCGCCTCGGGCAACAACGGCGGTCTCGGGTCCACAAAACACACTGCTTCCCTCGCTCTCATTAAGTGATAAATATTCAGTAATCAGTACTTTTCCTGACTTCAATATGTTTTATATTTGCTATTGAATGGCCACCTGTCTACGATTAGTCCTAAATGGTTATATATTATTATAGGTGGTCATGCACGATGGTAATTTAATTTGTCTTTGTAATTGTATTCAGGCCCCTGTCTATTCAGGACCCCCCCCCCCCCCCCCTTCAAAACAGAGAAACTTGTGTGTCCTGCATAAATGTATTATTATTTGGCCTGGCAGTTCAGTTTAGTTGATTGTTTTCCTCGGTTACTGTGTCTCGGCTAAATCAATAAGCCCCCTCTAAATTAGGAAGAGATTATTTCGCTGGCCTCAAGAGTGACAAAACGTAACAAAGCAACGGTTTTACTAACACTAACCCTACTCCAAACACCAACTCTACCCTAATCCTTACCCTAACCTAACCCTACTCCAAATTTGTTTCTAAACCAATCTTGAAGAAAGTTTTGACGAAATGTCATTCCGAGGTCAGCGAAATAGTTAATGCCTCTATATTAACCCACTTCCATCTTCAATAAACGGCCCTCAAACGTTCCTGAAATTTATAAGCCCTGGGGGCTTTATAGGGGATTTACAATAGTTTTGATTCCTATCCCAGCCCATGCGATGTCTTCGGAAGATCTTGATTACATAATTATCAGGACGACATATAATTGTGACGACATCAAATTCAATTCTTATAAACGCTTTAGTTTTCATTACCTGAAGCCGGTTATAAAAATTAACTACGATTTAACCATCCGTTTCGTAATTAAATTGTACTTCACTCTAACCTGCGAATGGGCATGCTCTGGGCACGAGATTGGAACAATAGTTGATTTATACAACCGTGCCCTTGTCTCGGGGAAAATTATGTTCTATTCCAGACTCCCTGCCAAAACACCCTGCCAAAACACGGACAAATTATGGGAATTTTTGCATAGAAATACAGGTTATCATCCATAGACGGATTTTCATACTTATTACTGGGGTGGTGCCAGAAATTTTAGGGGGGTGAGCCGCGAGCAGGTGACTGAAGCAACACAAAGTGTCACCACACCCCAGTAAGGTCTATGTTCTAGGGGTGGAGCACTAGAGCAGCGAGGGGGAGTCTAGAGAGCAGAAAATAAAGTACCCCAGGAAAAAATTGAAAAAAATCATGATTTCCAGCTTCGAAAATTTTTTTTGAAGTTGTCAATTAATTTTGTCATATCAATGGATTTGGCATGTCCGATTGTCTGTTGAGACTTGAGAGAGTTAAAGACTTAAAGTTAAATGAACCTGTAAAAGTGTAAACCCAATAGGCCAATTCACAATATGCTTTTACTTTTATAAAGTCATTGACATTGTGTTGTTTGAATCCGAGTACAATTTATGATGCAACTCCGATGTAAATAATATTTGGGGCGTAAAGATTAAATCTAGGCAAGTCTATTTCCTAAAAGAATTAAAAACTAAAAATAGTGTTCGTAAAAATTCCAAACGTTCCTTGCGTGCAAGCTATTCGCATGACAAGGCACTGTAGACTCTATTCAGGGAAGATAATAGAGTTTCATAACTTTACAATTGCTCCAATAAACCAGTGAATGCAAGCGAGGAGCGATTAGTTTCAGAGTGTTGCACTGTCTTTTTCTGTTCGAGTGTACTCCTACGTTTATTTTGTATCATCAACACTGCACATTGGAGTGGACTATTTAATTATTTATTTATTATGCCGAATATTGGGGGGGGGGTGAATTATTTTTTGGAGGGGTGGACATTTAGTTGGGGGGGGGTTATAGCTAATATTGGGGGGGGGTAGCACCCCCCCTGCACCCCCAGAAAATCCGTCTATGTTACCATCATAACGTACCAATCTTTTATGCCTTGGTCAAACGAGGATCTATATATTTAATGAATAAACTATATAAGTACAATATGAATCCAATACAAATCTTAATACAATTTATGAAATAAAGTTGAACAACAAAGGTTTAGTATTATTTACAACTTTTATAAGCAATGAATACGTTTGTACGGAGAGATTTCACAAGCACATGATTAGGTTGAACCCATTCACAATCGTTCAATAATTTACACAATTTCAATCATTAAAATGATAATATATATCCTGTGATCTACAAGTATTTACAAATATTTGATACAACAAAACTAAAGATTTGCTTACCATGACAAACACAATATAAACGATCTGTAAGCCATAGTGAAAAAGCTGTGGCAGACAGCCGTTGATGACGGGAGAAGTAACTCAAAGCATTCACAAAACGTGAAGTAATATGAGCACCACAACTGCTGTACAAATTCTAATACATGCCAGAAATATGTTGACGTCGTCGCAGTCATTTTGTTGCTCGTTTACTTGACACCATATATTGTCATTCGCATTCGGATTATTTAATCACCTTTATTTGCTTTTTGTGACAAACGAGCTCTTCACGTCCTATAGCTTCAACGCTGTTGTATTATAATCTCTGACTGAACAATTGAATCACAAATGTACCTAATATGGTTAAAAGCATCGACATCTAAAACTCTGAATAACGAGACATAAAGTAAATATCTAGATTAATAAATTTCTTAATTTGTCCGTTGTTTCTTCATGTCAGGTTCATCTAATGTAGGGATATCTGTTGTTGGTTTCTTTATATCCTTACTGTCACCATAATCATCCTCTGAAGTCACGTCTGATCCACTGTCACCTAGGCCATCTGAAAGTAAAATGAAGATTAAACCACTGAGATATAACAGCGCCACCCACTGTTCTCCATGCCATCAAGTTACTTATTGATTTGTTATTTTGAGGAAATGTCTCTATATGGTGTTAAACGTGTTTGGACTTTAGAACACCCAGATACCCAACATTATTTAGGCATGTACAAAATTCAAGCAACAACTGCACAAAATACATCGATGCAGACAAATGTAGATTATTATACAGTACATACTTTGTTTCAGCGGATCTAGAGGAGCCAACGCTGCAGCAAGGTTGGCACCAAGACCAACAAACTAAAACAAAATGAATGTTAGTTAAAATTGACTAATTGGTAAAATGTGAAACTGAAGTGTGTTGTCCTCCTTCGATGTCTAATCGAAACAGCTGCTAAAAATTAATTTTCGCGAATGGGATCGAGCCAATCAGCAACTGTGGCTTCATTAGGACACCAGAAGTTCCTGCAATACTTTAATTTTTAATTTTACAAGCTTTGTCACAATAATTACATTTATAACAATAATTACATATATAACATTACAAATGTGACAGGAAATCACAACAGCTTCAGGCCAATACTGTGATCCCAAAACGTAAACGTACAAGTACAGTGTTACACAAACATACACATACACACACACATAGACACATATATATGTATATATAGATACATATCTAATTTAAAAACAACATGCAATATATAGGTTTGGTTAGGTCCCGGGCCTGGTTACATTTCAGGCAAATTGTTTTCCACGATCGAGGACATCCACGTTATAATTCCTATCTAATGCGTAAAAGTAATATTTCATTATTTCATTAAGAGATTTTTAAAGGTTAATACTGAGCAGGTATAGTTTCATTCCAGGCTGGGTCACACTACATAGTCCCATAATCACGTCTGTAAAGCTTGTCCTATGTCTATGACAGTATAGACCAATTGCGAAACTTAGTGACCGCGCCTTAAATTACACGAAAACGAGGCTTACAGTATTATGCAAAAACAAATCATTCCGCTATATTTTTATATGGCGAAAAATGAATTTCAGTGTTTGAGACGCGTTTTTATGGTAATCTCTTAGATAGATAGAAAAACTTTATTTATCCACGCTAACCCTGTCAACCGAGGCTGATTTCCACAGGGGGCGTGTAAAAAGGAATTACAAATATAGTATAAGGTATTTAAAGCTATTTACAATCTATAATATCAACTAAGTTATATAAACTATAAGTAAGTCATATATATATTTACAAGTATTTTAGGTTTTCAGTTTCTTAGGATCTTGTTTTAGTTAATTTAAAGAATGTGAGTAGCAATTTTATTTTCAAAACATGACAGGGATTTGCTTTCCCTAATTTCATTTGGAATAGAGTTCCATAAGTGAGCTCCGTTATACATGAAACTATTTTTCATTTTATTTGTTCGAGGTTGTGGTAAACAAAGACCACTGGAAATGTCCCGAAGTTTGTAATTTGTCATCCCACTTTTATAGGTGAAAAGGTTTGTGAGTGACTCAGGGCCCATTTTATTCAGAATTTTGTACATTAGTATTGCTTTTGCCTTTTCTCTTATTGACTGAAGTGGCTCCCAGCCCAAAGCCTGTAAAACAATAGTGTGATCTATATCGTTGCTCATACTCATGATAATTCGAGCAGCTCTATTTTGAAGTTTCTGAAGTCGTTTTGACTGTGTTTCACCAAACACATCCCACACTTCACATCCCACACTTCTCTTCATTTTTTTTCAATATTTCTGTTTTGACAATGTAAATCTTTATTAAACTTGTTCATAGATTTAGTCTTACTTCAAATTTCATTGTTTTTCGCGGCGTGCGAGGCAATGTTTTGCTGTTTTTCGCCGTCCGATAAAAGAAGCAGATTATGCCGGAGAAAGAATCAGGTATTTTCCGTCTGTTTTATTAATACATTTCAAAGACTAAGTTGTAACATTGATTAATTTTGTTTCAGTTGTAATATAATAGCAAGTTTTCGATTTTAAATTTAAAATATGAAAGAAAATGTCGGGTAAAATTTGTAGAAATTTTATGTTATTATCCTTTGACAAAATCGTTTTTTTCTCGCACGAAGTCTAAAAAAATCTGGGTAGAAAGAGTTATATTTTAGTTTGTTAAGTTATACTGGCTATTTTATTTGCATCTTGATCAGATTTTAAAGTCTAGATTGATCTTTTCCATATATTTGTTCCATCGCATGCTAAAACAACAACGAAATATCTCTCCAAAGCGGGTAAAAATATAGTGGGAAATCGATGTTTAGATAAATTTAACAAATATTTGTATAACCTAGCACGAAATATTAAGAAAAGATCAAAGAGATTAAAGAAAAAACACTTTAAAAACCCTAAAATACACTTTTCGCTACATAAAAATATAGAAATTAATCAAAAAAATCACAGGGGCTTCGGTGGCCGAGTGGTTAGCGCACTTGCCTTTCGCCTCTGAGGCTGCAGGTTCGAGTCTCACTAAGTACCTTCTCAATGCGACTCGAACCCAGTCCCCATGTGAAAAGAGTAAATGTCAACGCTCTGCCGAAAACCGTGGGTTTTCCCCGGGTACTCCGGTTTCCTCCCACAGGGAAAGTTGACAGGGTGGGTTAGGTAAAAAGGGCCCACAGTAATTGGCATATGCTGTTGTGGTGACCCTGCCCTAGTTGGCAAAGCTAAATAAATAAATTGTTTATGAAGGCCACTAAGTTTCGCAATTGGTCTATATACGTGGAAAACATATTTCTTGCTTACCTCCCCCATAACAGCAATAGGCGACTTTCCTGTAGCAACGGCCACTTTATGCTCAATTAAATAAAACATATACTCGTCATAGAGAAGACGAATCAAATGGAACGAACCAAAACTAGCAGCACTACGTAATGTAAGATCACGGATTACCATGGAACTAAAATACAAATGAAGCATGTAGAACAATAAGATACAGGGTATCTACACAGACTTCATTCTATTAACGTATTAAGCATAGATGACACGGTAAATTGAGAGAAATATACATTCTACAGGCATGTGTCACATATCGAAATATTCTCCTCAGTGAGCGGAATCTAATGATGTATATATGATGTCAGCACACAATCAAAATGGCACGAAATAATTGGACAATACTTTGACAAATAAGGCCGATATGCAAAATTTGAAAATTTCTAATTTTCTGTCACTTTCCAAGATAAACTGAGAGAGATACAGGAGACACAAGAACGATTCAAAAGAGAGATAGTATAACCTCGTGATTTCCACTCACGTTATGGTAGCTAGGTTTTAGTATCACTTCAAAAAGGCCGGCGACAATTTCTCATTTCTATTTATTTGCCACCAAATACAAGACTAAACTACATATAATAAAAATAAATAACATTTTCTCACTCATTTTCACCACGATCTGCTTTACAAGCGTAAACATCTCCCAGCTTGTCAACAAGATATGTTCGTATTGCTTATTCCAAGTTGTTGACAAGTCTGGAACAAGCTGTTATCATCTTGTAACAAGGTTGATGAGGCCAACATACTCGCAACAAGGTGTTCCAACAAGTCATGACAAAAAGCTCGTAACAACTTGTTACGAACAGCCTGTATTAGTCTTGTTGGAATAACTTGTAGCAAGGCTGTTATCAACCTCGTTCCCAAGGTCTCTCCTTCTGTCATCTGGGAGAGATGTCATCTTTCCCAAAGAAAGATCCTGGGTACGAGGTTGGGCTGTTATCATTAACAACCTTAAAAGGTGATAACAACTTGTTCAGACTTGCTAAAACAACTGCAGGTAACAAGCAGTGTGAACAATATTGACAACAACCTTTTTACAACCTATTTCCAGATGTGTAAGAAATTGCGCGTTTTTACGACAAGTGCTTGGTGGAAACTAAAAATGACAAAAAGTAGAAAAGGTGCATTTAAACCTACCTATAAAATGACCATTTCAACAAAAACTGTCGAGCAGCTTTAGGATAAGCTGGGGTACCTTCCGTAGCAGAAAGAACTTTATTAACAACATCTTCCAACCATTCCGCCCATTTCTCAAGTGAATTCTATAGTAATGTAAATCAGTTTCATTCATTTCTCTGGAACCTTGCAAGCTTGTTCGTCAGGTGAATTTTTCGGAACAAAATAGAGAGAATTAAGTACAATACAAAACGATACATAACATAGTACATCAGGGTTGCAAATTTAGCGAACTACTGAACAATATTTTGAGAAAGGTAGAAACCAATGGAAAATAGGAGATGAAAATCTTAAAAAGCATATATTAAATAGAAACAAGAAATACAACTTATATTCGAAATTTATAAACTCGTCATAGACGGGAAACTATATAACTCCGGTAGTACATGGGACTCTCTGTATTTTGCTCCAACTGCATGAACAAAATATCTGTTGCAGAAAAGAAAACAATTTTTGCAGTCCTGCAGCACAACA